TATATTCAAATCAGGAACATTTGATATTATTAATCTGTCTAAAATATTATCTTCTTTAAATACCATTCATTTCTTAAGCAGGAGGTCTATATGTTATCAAGCCCCATTTTTTAAATTTGATTTCATTTTTATGTGAAGGAAAATTCATTTAATTAATATTTTTTTCTAAAAAATAGAAGTTGAAATAATTGTTAATTCTAAATTTCTTTAAAAATATAATGGAAAAAAATAGCATTTATATAAAAAATTTATTTTTTCTTTAACTGGCTTGTCAAAAGTTTTTATTAAAAAATATTTTTCTAGGAAAAAGCACCCAGAAATAATCTTAAAAATGATTATTGCAATAAAAATTTATAGATAATATTAAATATTCGATTTTTTAAAGAATTATTTATCAATTGAGCAGAAGATCAAATGAAATGAAATATTAATGAGTGCCATTCAATGTCTAAATAATCTGACTTTATTGTGTATTTATTCTGTTAATTTTATCATTCACTTTTTACACAAAGCATAAGCAAGTTTGAAATTGAGGAATAGCTTTCGCTATTATTTGGTTAACAGCCTAAATGTTGTTCTCTCTTGTTTGTAGGAAGAGCTGAGAAAATTGGTTCTTGTAAGTTGAATTATATCCAGAATTCATTTCTTTAGAATAATCAGTATGAAAAAATTGATCATTATCCTATTCATCAAAAATAATTCATAATATTATTTATAGAGATTATTATTGATTTTAATTTATTATTAATAATTTATAAAAAAGCGTACACTTTAAAAAATTTAACATAATAAACCAATATGAAATAGCATTAAATTAATCTAAATTAGTATTAAGTAGTTTAGAGTAGCTGCGTGCTTCTGATTAGACATATAATTAACTGTGAATCATTTGAAAAAAATGATAGATGATGGAGAAAATAATAAAAATAATATTTAAGCTGAATAGGAATTTCACCGTAGAGAGGCTATGGAATAGATATTCGAACATTTATCATTCGATGGGAGTGAGAATTATTTAAACAGTGGAAAACCATTTAGAAAAGATAATGATAGTAGAATACTCAAAGATAAAAGATGTTTTTAAAAATAAGAAAATAAATCCTTCAGGCTTGCTGATTTGTAATAAGGAAATTATCATGATTTACCAAAAGTTATGATGTATGCTATAGACACAAATTGATGAAATGAAGAAAAAAATTGGAGGAAAAATAATATATTTACTGATAGAACAAGAAATATAACAATTACATTGATACTCAAATATAATTTAAAAAAAACATAAGGTTTTAAGGAAATATAAATATTAAATTGTTATATGTTGTGTATGTTTTTAAATTAAATTAAAGTTTAGTAAAAGATAATAAGCAAATAAAACAATTCTTGTGAAGAAACCTAACAAAAATTTTAAAGGTGATAAAAAGCAAAATTACTTTTAAACCTTTTTAGAAACTTTTTCAGCATTTGAAAACAAAATAAGAATTATTTAAAGTTCTGTATTTATATAAAATATTTTAACATAATCAATTATAAGTCAAAAAAAACTTTATGTTTTTATAATCAAAGCATTTAATTCGTTTAAACTCTTATGACAACCCTATCTTCATTTTTATCCATAAATTTTAGACTTTATTAAATACAATTAAAATTATTTTGCTGTATTAAAATATAATAAAATAAGATACATAAGTTTTTTATGAATTGATATAACTTAAAATTTTTAAACATCCATTCTATCAAGATATTAATCTTAAATAGAAAGTTCTTTTATAACTAAGTTTTATGAATAATCAACAAGGTTAAGAATATCTCCCTTCACTATAATCAAATCATTAGTAAATTATTTTTTTTTCAAATGTATCTCAAAAATACATTCCATTAATTTTGGTATTCTTGGATAAATCAATCTCATTTCTAGAGTGTGATAATATTATTACCTCCATTAATCTACTAAATATTTGGTCTCTTCTGCGAATTTTTCATATATTCTTCCTTAAAATTAATTTTATGAGCGATTTTCTAAATTCATGTATTTAGGTAAATAATATAATAAATTATAAAGGAAAATAGTATGTTTGGCAGAGAGAACATTGTTCTCCATTTAAAAACTAAATAGCAACATACGAAAGAACGATAATTTATTTATAAATTAGATAGAAACAGATAATAATTGGTTAATAGAAATTATTTTGCATATTCGAAGTTAAATTAGCAATTAAAAAAATTTCCATGCTTAACAAAAGAAAAGAAAAACTATATGCTAAAATTTAAATTGCTTGTGTTCTCAAAAGAATAAATAAAAGAATAAAAGAAATGTATATTTATAAAAGATTTATGCTCTGAGTATCATAATTTGATATCATATTATAAAGATTAGTCATTTTAATTAAAATTAAATTTTAAAATGATTCATGTAATTTTTTTTTATATAGCATTTGGTATTCATTTAAAATTAATAGGAATTAATTCGTCAAAGTTTAGCTTTAAATTTATTTTTCAATAATTTTGTTATGATGATAAAAGAATATTTAAATTAAAGCATTCTTTTTGTAATAACTTATAATTTAAGATAACAATCATAGTTATTTTAGAATTATTTGTTGATTTCTGTAATCTCTATTTATTTGATCTTTTTGATTTCTCAAAAATATCTTTTTGTTTTATTATACCTTCTAAATTGACTTTTTTTGTTTATTTTTAAAAGCCTTTCTCCTTTTATATCCTCTTTCAAAAATAGAAGTTATGATAATATTTAGATTAAAATTAGATATATAAACTCTAATTTTACCTATCTTTAATAATATTTGACTATAATATGAAATTGTTAAAAAATTGCTCAAATTTTTTCATAATATTATTTAAAATTTTGTTGCGGAATTAGATTTAACGTAAATCTATAAATAAAATTTCATTTTAAATTTCGATAATTTCAAGGAGAATTAAAGAATCTCGATAATTAAATGAGCAGAAAAATATAAACAAATAATGTCTAATAGTTTTAAGTATTTGCGCAGAATATCAGTCATAATTATATATGTGTTTGAGGTATTTTCTAAAATATCGGAACCTTTAAAATTATTATTAAATTTTATTTATGTATTTAAAATATAACCTTAATGGCTTAAGTAATTAATCAGCCCCTGACTTATTGTGAATATTCTATGAATCCTCTAGTCATAAAGTGCATTCAATTTATTGCTACTGTGCTACTAAAAAATTATCCTACCAAATATATCCTATCTTTTATTTTCCTATTTCATCTTCACTTATCTAACCTTAATTATTTAATCATTATATTATGTTTATTTAATTTTTCTCCAAAAATGTAGTTCGCTAACAAATAGGCTTCTAAATTTAGCCTCAAATTCTTCTTCTCCATTTAGAAATTATTCGTTTTAATTCTTCTTATATTATTATATTCAAATCACTTTCTTATTCAAGAAAATAATTTCAATCTACCAAAACTATTATTACCAAGAAATTTTTAACATAATTAGTCCATAAATGTAATTCTTATAACAATATCTAAATAATAACAATGGAGAAATGTTTTATCTAAGAGAGATCCTACAATTTCTAATTCTTTGATAATCCTGAAACATAGGCCATGCATTTTACATTCCTGTTCTTTATGAACTTGAGAATTCATAATCATACTCATCAGCATTTGCTACTTCATCCTATGTTCAATATCTTAATATATATACTGGTTTCGTTATGTTGGAGATGCACTTACAAATATCTGTTATTCATATCAAATTGTTTCATCTTAGTGTAAACGAATGGAGAACCCAATCCAAAAAGTCTTCGAATCCATTAGCATCTTTTCCGATATAAACATAAATAATTTTGGAACAAAGTACTGATTACGTTGTGATGTTATTAATAAAATACAACACAATTATGAGAAGAAGAAAATAATTAAACAAGCATAATATTAAACCTTCTCACATGATTACGATTCTGCTACCCTTATTCATTTAATCTTACCCATATGATAATCAATCATTTCTTTAATATCCATGATAAACAAAGAATTGTCTAAAGCAATATTAGTTTATTTGTAGGCTCTTTCTTTTATAACATTCTATTTAAATTCAACCATTGATTAACAGAAGTTCCTTTAATGCATTTATACCATCCAATAATTGAGTATTCAAGTGGGAATTTTTACTCTTCTCCAAATTCTCTTAAGAAAAGTTCATCTTCTGGTTTTCTATTAATTGGATCCTTAATTAACTAATAATTCTATGGAGTAGTATCCAATTCAGGATATGAATTAACATGAGCATAGTTATTCAAGACATCCGTGTTATCAACATAAGCTCCTATTTAAGATGAGAATATAATTTATTCAACATTACCATCAATAGTTAATCTCAAATATTTAGCTGATGGTTAAGTTGTAGTGTGTAATCTATTTAAAATTCTCTTCTCCATACTTAATAAAACCTTATGCTTTATTTTCCTCTGCACTATATGAGTAATACACATAAGATCATAATTCTTCAATATCATATGGATAATTATATTAAGCATGAATTTCCAGTGATAAAATTACCTGCTCTGAAATGATATAATATTATAATAAAACAATAATATCCTTTGCCCTAATTATTTTATCTACCAGTTTAGTAGTTCTCATATTTCTCTGAATTAGCCAATCTAGAAATACCAAGGTTCATTCATACTATTTAGTAATCTCTCAAGATAAAATCTAAAGAATCTCATTCAAAATCCAAAATTAAGTTCCTCAAGAGTGATTCTCTTAATTAACATGTTTATCAAATATTGGTTCAGCTTAATTGAAAGCATTTTTCTTGATTGAAGGATCTGAATCAGTTGGTAAAACTCAGTATCTGGTTTCTTTAATTTATTATTACCTGTTCTAATTCTAAAAGCATGAGTGAAATCCTTAGCATTACTGTTTGTATCTTTACCAAAATTGAATAAAGCTTATGCAATCCTACAATTTTAAATATGTAAGAATTATCTCTTCTTAAGAATACTTAGAAGTTTCATACATAATAAAATGTAAGTTGGAATATGATAATTCCACCAAAACGTGTTCCAATCCAAAAGCTACTAATGTTCTATCTCCTAAAAATTGATGATTGGTTTTTCATTCAATGACAACCTAAGAAAATATTAAGAAAATATTTTACCACTTATTTCCATTTGAATCAACCACTGATTGGGTATTCTAATGGGTATCTATCATTATCTTTTCCAATAGCATTAAAGTTTGGATCATTTTTCTTCTCTCTGAATAGTTAATTTGTAATTAATCTATAATTTTTTTTATTCAACTTAACCAACTGTTGGGTTCTCTAATATATTTATTCATATATCTTTTTAATTAATCAGCTGAATAAAAACTCCTTCTACTTCATTAAATGTAAACAAAGCTAAAATAACATTTAAACCAGGATATCTCTTAGCATCAGTACCTCATACAATAATCTAAAGGCAATCTAACATATTTTGAATCTAGATTAGTAACATCATGTCTGATAGATTTGATTTAAGCCAATAGCTCTTGATTTAGCTTCACTCTATGAATAATAGATATATGTCCAAATGCCTTCAACATCAATTGGATAATAAATATTTAAAAACATTATCTTTATCATTAACTGCTTTAAAAGTTGAGTAGTCATAATTTCTTTTCCTTACCAAATAGCCAAAATTTTTCACCCATTCTTGCAATATCATAATTTTCTTGATTAGCTAATCTAGCAACAAAGTACCATTGTGTTAATTCTTACCATTAAGTATTCTATCTGGGATAGCTATTAAATATCTCAACCAGAAACAATAACCATACTCCCGAAATTATTATTTTATTTAACATTCAATCAATTACTGGTATATCTTAACTTGTTTGGCTAATTAGAAATCTTTATTACTTTTCTGGTTTAACTTCTTCTTATTTTTCAAATAATTTAGTTTATCCAGCATTGAATTTAAAGATGCCTTATGAATGATCAAATTTATTGTTTTTGACAAATGAACCATCATCATCAACAAAAATAAATCTGACATGCCGAAGTTATAAGATTTTTGATTCCGTGTTAATCTTGAGGCATAGTAGCATGGTTAATTCTTACCATTTATTTAACTTTCTGGATAAACTTTTAAATTATCTCATCCAAAATCCATATTCATTTCTTGTTAATTCTTTGTCCTCATTCAATTCTTTGTTCTATGTTGTAATTTTATGACTTATCAAGAACAATAGAATCTGGTTTTATTTCCTCTTATAGTTTTGGCTAATCTTAATATAAGCATCATCTCCATTGTCAAATGGATTTATTGATAAGTTAATATTATTGTCAGCAAAAAATGATCCTACATCAATATTAAATTTGCCTTATGCAATATTACCATTAAAACCAGGGAAATTATTATGTCTTCCTGTGAATATATTGAATTTTTATGCAAAATAATGTCTTGTGTTAGAGATTCAAGTGTATCTATCCTCTGATTGTGTCCATTTAATATAAACTTGAGTTTTACTTTAATTCTTTGGATATCTAAAGCAAATTAAATTCCATTCAGTATATCTGCCTTTATGTGATATTGTTTTTTTTAAGATTTGAATTACACCTCCCAAATTCATATATATTAGTTTGCAATTTCAAATCTATGTCTTAGAACATATAAACTATCGATAAATGCTTCTTTACATGAGAATAAGATACTTTAGTGAATATACCATTAGAGGATGGATATCTATTATTATTATTACTACCGAGAATAAATTTAACTTATCTTATACCTGGTTTAGTGAATTATAATATACTTGACTTTTTCAGTTCTGTGCATAATGAAACCTACTACTTTCTTTTCTTCTGGTATGAATAATATATTTATGTCTACACACCTTCAATATCAGCTGGATAATCGACATTTTACATGAGATTAAAATTGCCATTCTATTTGTTGCAAATTGTATAATGAGAGACTTACCAGTGAGATTAAGCTCTATCTCTCCTTCTAATATTATTATATCATACATTTACTGTTAATTTAGAACAAAAACCAAGATTGATCCTTTCAATAATTAATCTAGCTGGATAAGTTGTTAAGTATTTAGCCCAAAAACCATAATCATATTCAACCAAAAGATCATTGAATGACGATTTTTATCAACATTGGTGCTTTATTATTAAATTTACTAACATATTTAACTCTTATAACTTCAACAGGTTTTGTTGGATCAATTTTTGGAACCAATTAACTTCCTTTATTAAATCTAAATGCATCAGTAGGATATATGAAATCATTTTCCACTTTCTGGATGATCCTTCTACATGATTAAATGATTTAGGTGTTACTTCGCTTCTATTAAATCCTGGGGAATTAATTTCTTTACTAATATGATTGATATTTTAAGGTAGATTATTTGGTCTAGCTCTGTTCCTACTTTTGTATGAATATGTTATGAAATGAATGATACTTTCAGCTCTACTTCCAACCCTCACTGCTAAAATTCTATCACCACAACTGTTAACTATTGATGGCTAGCTAATTTAAACTCTGTATAACTTATGGCAATCCTATTAAGGGTGTAGGTTATTCTCATTTAAACCAAACCAAAAACGAATATTCTTTAGAGAATGGGGCATCAACAGTTTATGTAGTTTTAGATTCACTAATGATTAATAAGATTTTTTTATATTCAAAGTAGAATAATTGAGATCAAATTATAAATTTTCTTGGTACAGATTCACGCTAAGTCCTATTCTAGTCCTAGGGGGCCACTGGAAATTTCGACCAAATCCGGAGTTATTTTATATATTTTTTAATTTGAAAAATAATGTTTAAAGTTAAAAGAGTTTTAAAATAATAATACATTTATAAAAGCGTTAGAATTAGTTTATGAATACAATACAATAGTAATTAATTGTGTTTAAGTTTTGAGAAAAATAAAGAAAGAGGAGTGAATGTTTAAAAAAAATTTTAGTAAATGAAATTTTAAGTTGGAATATATAATAATGATAATTGATTTTTTTTATAAATAATA